CCAAAAACCCCCCCTCTCCCCCCCCCCCCCCCCCCCCCCCCAGTTATTTAGGAGGTGCTATGGGTCAGGAGTACTGAAACATTTAACAGGCTAGTGACATTAGTGGCTTCACATTTTTTAGAAGACTGTGTGACACTTCTGCCTCTTCCTAGGGCTGCTTAAAATTTTCAGCTGAGCCATGTCTCTGTACTGGTGTAATTATTCTAAGTTTAGCATCATACATTTCTGGTGCTTCACAGAAAATTTAGAGATTATTTTCAATGGGTACTTGTTTATCACTAGGTTCCCTTATCTCTTTTTTTAAGCTGGGATTCTCACATAAGTATCTAGATTCCTCCTTAAATTGGATAGAAGCAGTACTACTGAGGACAAGCTGTTGAGAGATTTTTAAGATTAGCAAATACTCTCTGTATCACTGAAGGAGAAATGAATTAAGATGGTAAATCCTTTTTAATAGTTATGATGCTAAAGCCCCTATCTTTATCTTACATCTGGAATGCAACAGACAGGAGCTCTTAATCAGTGAAGTAGGTCTTAACTGTGTGATCGCATCAGCAGCTAGCTGATGTCAGCTGCCAAGCAAGAAAGCAGTGGGTGGGTGTGGGCTATGCATGTACATAGATAGGTATATACATACATGAGTACACATAGCTGTTAGCAGGAGCAGGTTGTGATTACTTGCTCTCTGCTATTTAGGTGGAGAAGGGTGCAGTGTGATGAAACGTCAGCTAAGTGCTGGTCCGAGCTTCCTTTTGAGGGTGAGCTGCCCACGCTGAAATTGGGTTCCAAGAACCCATTTCTGCCTGGGCCCCAGCGTTCCCTCCAGGCTGGTCACAGATCCGTGGCTGTGTTCATGATGGTGGCCAGACTGCACATGAGCGTGCTGCAGAGCACTGTCGTTGCACCTGGTCCACCAGTAAGTATCCTGATTTCAGCTTTCCTGGTCCTGTGTAGACCCTTTGAATGCAAGCTGCAGACAGTGAGCAATGTGTGGAGAGCGGGGTCATGGGGTTTGAGGAGTCAGCTCATGTGCCTTGCCCTCTTCTTTGCCATCAGGAGCAGAGCTGACGTATATTTTGAGAAAGGTGATGAGGACAGAGGGTCTGCAGTGCCTGTGACCCACGTATCTTTTGAGAATGACCCATCCCAGAAGCAACGTGCCGCATTCACAGTGATGTCTATGCACCTTGGTGTCTTGGTCTGACAGTCTGGAAACAGAGGCACTGTAATTCTGTGGGCACTTAACAACTGTGGTCTTGCTTAGAGTTATCTGTAAGGATAAAAACAATTGAGCTGGAAAGCTGGACATGCACAAACTAAATTAGTGCTGAAGAAAGGAAACCAATTCCAAATACTTGACTTCTAAGCTTGCTACATCTGCTTTCACATCTGTCAAATGGGGATAATACTATTACTCTGAAGGTATTGTAAGACTTCAAAATACATGTAATTCTTTCTCTGGTTATCACACGGAAGGAGAAATTTCAGAGCTGTTTGGAAACAGCACCTCCACCTTTCTTTAAGGTTAGGATTGAGTACAGATAAGAAATGCTCTTCAGTGTGATTTTGGAGCCTGGAGAGACCATCGGATTTTCTTTCTTTTTTCCTTAGCAAACAGCTCACATCCTGGTACAATTTCACCAGAATGTGTAATCTTTAATTCACAGGGAAGCTGGAATCCGCCAGCAGTAGGTGTCCACCGTCAGAATAAATCTGAGCACACGAAGAATTTCTCCCGTGGGTACCGGTGCAGTGATGGAGTGGCAAATCCCCACCCCAATTGGCTGGATCTGCTGCTCGTCACACTACCAGGCAGAGCGCGGGTGCCCGGCTGCCCACTGGACCAGAGGAGCAGATGTGCTGGGTGTGGAGGGACTGGCTCTCTTCTCAATGGAAAGAAACGCTGCACTTAGGTTCCTGCTGCTTTTTTTGTATGTGGGATTCGCAGTGTCTGCGGAGCAAATGATTGCGACAGTGGATGGCAGGTCAGTAGCTGAGTGTGTATCCACAAACTCTGTTGGTGGAGTTCAGTGCGTGTTTTAAATGTTGTAGTTTGGTCATCTGTGCTGTGTGGAAGTGGGTTCGATTGCAGTTTAGAATGTCAGGACATGGTTTTAATTTTCTTTGCAGGTTTGAAAACAGCTGGGGCTAATACAGAAATGAATTATTTTGAAGCATACAGTGCATTAAAAATGTAACTTTAAAGGGATTTTATAAACAGTTCTAGAAATGGGCATCTGTCTTACATTTCATTACATTTTAATGACTCTCACACTGATTTTCCCTGGTCTGTGTAAAAACGGAGTTCTAAATAGAATAACAGCAAGGATGTGAAAACTACTCCAAGAAACATAGGTGCTAAAATATTCTACTTGTGTAGAATAAATATTTGAAGCATGAATTCAATATTGCAAAAAAGTATTAAACTTATGAAATTACTAGAGATTTGGATTTATCATTGTTTATAGTGCCATTTCATTCTGTAATGAAATGTAAATAGGAAGCCCAAATGATAGCAAGGGAAAGAGAGGACTTTCTAGAGCCAAGCATTACAAAAGTGTAAACAGCCTAAATTGTATTAGTTGAATCATGCCCCGAAGTCACTAAAAACACACAGATCAAATATGCTGATGAAGGTTACAGCTGGCAGTAAAATCTGTGCATTTAAGGCAAGAAGGACATGTGGTGATTTGCTTAAGCTTGTATTAAGAGATCTGGTAGTCAGTTACCGATAAATACTACAATATGTTTTCATTTAAATAGCTTACTTGCTGTTCTCCTCTGCCAGTTTTCAGATTCGATGGTGGCTTTTTAGTA